AATAATTGGAAAAAGAGAGGAAGAAGAAGAAAAGGAATAAGAAGAAGATTTGAGAAGAAGAAGAAGGAAGGAAGAATAACAGATTTGGAAACGGGGGGAAGAAGAATAGGGGGGAAAGAAAAAGAAAAAGTGAAGAGGAAAGAGAGGAGGAACTGATGAAGAAATAGAGAAGAGGAAGGAGAGAAGGAGAGAAGGAGAAAAAGATAAGAATTGAGTGGCGAGGAAGGGGGGGGGAAAGGGGAGAGAGTGAAAATGGTAAGTGGGGGTATTTTGGGTAGTTAGTGTATCAAAAATTGAAATGGGAAGATTTTTTCCGACGGGGAAAAAGGAAAAACGGGAAGATTATTTCCGGACGGAGGGAGTATTAATTATAATCTTGGTCAAATTTCCCTAAAATTTTTATTTTAGTACAGAGTATATTATCTGGTTATTTATGTAAAAATTTAATAGACTTTTCATCTGAACACAATGTCAGTAATAAAAAATTAACTCCTTATATGACTATTTTTAAAAATAAATATACAAATATTTTTTGTTATGTTCGGATTATATTTTAACTCCTTTCAAAAAAATATGTTAGTATAACTTATTTTATAAAAAAAATATTCATTTCAACTCCTTTTATTTTTTTCAAACTTCTAACTCTTTTTACTTTCTTTTAATTCTTTTTAGCCTTTTCTAATTCTTTTTATTTTTTGCAACTTATTTCAGCTTCTTTACACATCCAACTCTTCTTTTCAAATCTAAAAGAACATATGCTAAATTAGATAATTTTTACTTTTCTATATTATATAAAAAAATATTATTGTAGAATATTTTTCAAGATTAGTTTGGTTAATATGAGTTTCATGTTTTTATTCTCAAAATGGGAGTAAAAATGTATTTATATTATGAATCATGACCATGTACATTACCAAACATTATAGTAAAATGTACATAGACTACAGTGCTACATTACTACATGGAACTCATATTTTGGTCTTTTTTCTCTATGTTTTACTCTTATTTACGGTGATTTGTTTTAAAAAAATTGAATCTTGATAGAATCTTTTCTTAATTACTTTTCACATATTTAAGGAAATTGTATTTATTAGGGAAAAAAATATGAAATGCACTAAATCATTAAGTATTTCTTGTTAAAATATCCTTTTTTAATTAGGTGATACACATTTTATTTTTAATGTCATATGATTTTTTTTCGAAAAAAGTAACATAGTACAGACTCTATTTTTCGGATAAAAACATGGAGCTTTTATTTCGATACATGCTTTATATTTTACTTTTATTTAGCGAGATTTCTTTATAAATTAGTAGAATAAAGTATTTTAAGGAAGTAATTTTTAAATTTTATTTAAAAACTGCTTTTAATTTTTAATAAAAAAATTCTTGGAAATATGAATAAATTAAATTAATTTAAAGGAAGCAAATTTTTTTGGAATATCAAATATATAAGTTTAAACTTATCACATGTATATAAATATCAAGTTTTAAAAGTAACCATAAACTATTTGCTAAAAATGGTCAATGATTATAAACAATGTTTCCATATATATGTGAAGTCTTTATTTTAGGAATGATTTTAGATCCGTGTACAGTCATCATTGACGTGTCAGTAAAGGCTCCACATAGACGTTCCACGTGTCAAACTCTGGTGATCTGAGTCTCAAATATTATATTAAAGGATTAGAAAAAGCTTGTGTGTCTCTATCTGCACAAGAGGATATAATTGAATGCAATATCATATTCTTGATCAACGTAAAAACTTTACAATACACCCACAATTTTGAGGAATTTATGGTAGCACCTACAATTTCTTCTCTCGAAACTTTGGTAAAATGGGAAGGATCTGGCGAAAATCACTTCAGAGTACTAATATTTTCCCTCCGAATGATTCATTTCTAGAGTTATTATTTTAGAACCTCATTATATCTCTCTTTGTGTGATCTAATGCCTCAAAAGAAAATCAATTCATCACACATGCTTCATCTCATACGATTCCACTTGCTTGTTAGATTACTTCGATCTGCTTTCGACCCCCTTGTTTGATAGCACATATTGAGCACTCAAATAAAGTCAGAGGGATTGAGAATCTCGAGTGTGTTGTCCTTCCACTAGGCAAAAGCAATGCTGCAATGCCACTGGATGCAACATTCAAAACGGTCTTACATACCATTCGATCTTGAGAAGTAGACATTGGTTTCTATATAATTTTTTTCCAAGTCTCCCGTAACCATATACAAAAATAAACCTCCTCTTTCAGATATCAGACTTCCATTATTGCATCAGATATCTTTCTTTGATCTTCATTCATCGTAGATAAATATCCTCTAAAATCAGATGATAATTTTTCTTTGTCATAGTTCAAGTTCTCAATCAAGAAACTATTTTGAAATCTATTAAATAGACTATATCATCTGGAAATGACATGCCACTTGACTCCTTTAAAAATGCATAATTTTGATATTATTTTCAAACTTTTCCTTTACTTTATAATAGTATGATGTGTAGGATAAATGATTTTAAGGTGCACTTTTTTTCTAATTTGAAAAGTTTTATGGACGCCTTTCTTTGTATTAGAAAATTTTTATGGGACAGACGATGTAGTATACTTTTCTTCAAATAATCAAGGTTATTTATTTATATTAGGTTTCCCAAAAAACAATTTACTTAAGTAGTCAACATTCCGTATGCATTTTTTTCAAAAATATCTTCAATAATTCTAAAATTAATCACTTTTACATTTTTTGACGATACAATTATATCAAATATTTTCGTTGGCTTAACGCATTGAAAGTCTTATTTCAATCTATGAATTTCGTTTTAAACATATTAATAATTCTCGACAAATTCTATGGTGGACTTAAGGTCTACCATGGACCTACACATGAGCAAAATAAGTATATTTTATTACTTAAATAAGCATTTGCTTTTATAAATGAAAAAAATTAAAAAAAAATTTATGTGAGAAGGTCCACAAAAATGATATGCACTCAAGATGCACCAAAGAAACACTCATGATTCTCTCTCTATTGAACATTATGATTAAGTGTCCACTTTGGATATTGTAATTTTCTCGGTTAAAAAATGCCTAGAATCAAAATCTTAATTAATTTTAAAATTATCAAATGTTAGGCATTAGAATACACAACAAAAAAAAGATGAAAGTAAACTCAACTTACAGTAATAGTTAAGAGGGAGAAGTATTGAGGTAGAAGTCAAAATAAGTAATTTTAATACTTTTTTAATATTTTACTTCTATAAATCTATAATAGTCTTTATCTTTTTTGAACCTTTTCAATTTGTTCTAACTTAAGCATATTATTATTCAATGGAATAAGTAATTTACATAAAAAATAAATTAAACATATATTATCAATAGAATGAACTATGGTGTTTTTTACATTGTACTCATTATAATTAATAAAAATACATTAGAAAAAAATTTAAAAATTACTCATAATTATCTTCTAATTTTTCTACTTCGTAATTATATTCTAGTCGCCGTATAAGGTATATATTAGGCATATTAATTAAAATTGGATCTTTCTATATTTTAATATAAAAGTACCAAGTCATTAAAGTCATCAAAGGTGGCAGATGACTCATAAAAAACTTGCCAAGTAGACCCACCACATGTCAACATTCTGTGAGCCTGAGTCTCAAATATTATAATAAAGGATTACTTGAAGTAAGTGGTAGATAGATAAAATGGTTTGTACATCCTTTAATATAAAATTTTAGAGTTTACTTTATAAGAATTTGACATCTGGCAATTGGGATATTCTATTTTAATGACGCCTAAGCTAGACACGCGTACAGTTGTGAGACAAAACCGCTGACATCCTTTGCAGTATAAGAGTTGTAATTGGTGTGAATTCTAGATATCATTTCATGAAGGAAGCCTTTGGCTTTTATACATAAGCATACGTACAGGAGATATACTTGGTCATACTAAACCCAAGCCACAAAGTTAGGAAAGCTAAACCATATGGATAGGAATAAACATAGGATAGATACAAATAGATACAATGAACATAGACATTCTAGTTTACGTAGAAGTCTCCTTAATTTCGCCCTCGCAAGATGGTGGATCCGTCGGAGACGCCAATCTTGGACCGAAATTTGTGAAACAAAGCACGACCTAGAGGTTTCGTGAGTATATCAGCAGTTTGCTGCGTAGTAGGCACATGAACCACATGCATGCGACCAGCAGCTACGAGATCCCGAACAAAGAAATAATCAAGGGCCAGATGCTTCATGCGGGAGTGAAACACTGGATTCTTGCAAACATAGACAGCACTCAAATTCTCACAAAAAAGAGTAAAAGACGTGGAGCAGGAAGAGATTGTTAGTCGGTTTAGTCGTTGTGCCCACGCCTTAGAGGGGGGGTGAATAAGGCGTTTGAAAACTTTTCGGAGTTTAATAAAAACGATGTTGGCAAATGCGGAAGCAATATATAAAACGCAAAAATAAAAGCGTAAATAAAATGCACACCGAATTTATACTGGTTCGGGAACTCCCTACTCCAGTACCTCGAGGCTCCTCCTCAAGGATTTCCGAATCCACTAAGTCTCGGTCTTTTGAACTCCGTCAAAGCACCGTACTAGTTTGGCAAATAACCCTTGCCAATAGGATTCACTCCGAGATTTCACCACGGCTATCTTGAACCATTTACAATGAAGATTTAACGGCTATCTTCTACCGTTCCCCCAAGGATTTCAAAGGCTATCCTTGAACCTTTACCCAAGGATTTATACGGCTATCCTGGACCGATACAATATGAGAATTTAACGGCTATTCTCGACCGCATAAAGATGTGTTTGAAAAACAAAAACAAGAGTTCTACACAACGGCTTGAATATAAAAATGAAGAACAAAACTTAGCCGGTGTAGAAGGAAATTATACTCTCTCAAAAATACAATATAAACTTATGAATATGAGAGTATATAACTAGAAACACAAGCTCAAAGTGTGTGTATAAAAATCAGGAATTTAAGGCTCTTAAAATAGCCAAAATATTGAAAATAATGAATAAGAGAATGAACACACTTAGAATAAAAAGGGAGGATGTTTAGAGCTTTGTTTCTTGAAGAAATATGAAGGATTAGACTTGTATTTATAGTGGAAGATGTTAATTAGCCGTTGGGAGGTGATTAGGGGTGATTTGAATTTCAATTGGCAATTTGCTACAGTGATTACAACGGATCCAATACCCTTCACGGTAGGGTCAGTACCGTCCGGTACCTAGGTACCGTGACCACGGTACAGCCTACCGTTTGGGGGTACCGTGTAAGCCAAAAGTTCGGTTCGCCTCTGGCGGTACCTGGTTAGGACGGGTTGCGCCAACCGTCTACGCCTACCGTCCGATACCCAGGTACCGTTACACGGTATGGGGGTACCGTGTAGGCGGTATACCCTACCGCTTGGGGTACCGTGCCACTGTCCTGAGTTTTCCAAAATTTCCCGTAATCCTTCTTGTTTGAGTTTAAAACCTTTTAGATGTTTAAAAGTGTTTATGGGATGGTTTTAAACATATTTTGTGAGTGCTTTTGAGCATGTGAATATAGGTATATAAAGTCATATCCTTACATTGGTTTCTACCTATATTCTACGCTAGTTTAGTGTTTCGACTTCATTCTTGAGTACCGAATCTTAATGGATTCTTGTTTTTCCTGAAACACTTAAACAAACGTTAAGCTCTTATATTGTTTGTTAACATCAAAACATGAGGCTTAGCAAACCAAGGCTAACAATCTCCCCCTTTTTGATGTTGACAAACAATATACTTCAAAGTNTAGGTATATAAAGTCATATCCTTACATTGGTTTCTACCTATATTCTACGCTAGTTTAGTGTTTCGACTTCATTCTTGAGTACCGAATCTTAATGGATTCTTGTTTTTCCTGAAACACTTAAACAAACGTTAAGCTCTTATATTGTTTGTTAACATCAAAACATGAGGCTTAGCAAACCAAGGCTAACAATCTCCCCCTTTTTGATGTTGACAAACAATATACTTCAAAGTGAGTTAGACGGGAGTAAAATAATGAAGCAATCAAGCTCCCCCTAAGAATAAGCATATTGAAAATACTCACTTTGAACTTTTTCTTGTGTTTATTAAAAGTTTAAATTTGATGCAAAAATTTACACAAGAATGCACTCAAGTCAAGTTGCATATGCACCACTTTGAAGTATACATCTTCTCCCCCTTTTGTCAAAATCAAAAAGGGCATTTTGAAAATTTTAACTATGTATAACTTCTTGAAACCCTCCCCCTATCAAAATGAGTTTTTAGGAAAAATGATAGTTTGGAGATCATTGGGCAAAAGGTGCATTTACAACTAAACTTCCCCTAAAAATGAAAACTCCCCCTTAAATTATGCAAGTTTTTAAAAACTTTATTTTTCAGGGATTTTTGGGGATTATTTTATAAAAGGCATAATTTAAAATGGATTTTGAAAATATTATTTAATCATGCAAACCAAGGCTAAAACAAATAAAAGCACGTATGGGATAAGGTTTTATTTTTTTAAAAAGAATTAAAACCAAACAAAATATCTTATCCCAATGAGCAAGAGAAACTTACCTTGGCTTATGCCGTTCTTTTTTCGGCTTTGAGTATACTTCTTTCCTCTTCACATACTTCTTCCATTTGAGGAAATCCGTATACTTCATTCTCATTGCCTTCTCTTCATCTTCTTCATCATTTGACTCTTCCGTAGAGCTTGAGTCACTTGAATCATCACTTGATTCACTTGACTCTTCACTTGATGATTCTTTGGAAGCTTTGAAGGCATTTGTAAGTTTGGGATTTTCACGCATTTTTTCCTCTTTTATCTTTCTCAACAAAAGTTCGTGAGAATACAAGGAAGACCAAATGTGGGCGGTTTCGGCCTTATCACATTTGGGTAATAAATCTACGATAGTACTATGCCATTCTTTAGGTAAAGAAAATAAAATTTTTGTATTAAGCTCGGAAGTAGTATACGTCTTACCCAACTTACTTAATTTGTTGACAATCTCATTGAACCTCTTGTTCATATCTTGGATTGTCTCACATGACCCTTTCTTGAAGGATTCATATTCCGAATTCCCGAGGGCTAGCATGGTTTGTTTTGTTGAGGTGTCTCCTTCATGTGTAGCTTGGAGTAGATCCCACACCTCTTTAGCCGTTTTGCAAGAGAAAACACGTGCGAATTCGTCGGGACCAAGAGAGCAATGCAAAATGTTAATTGCTTTTGCATTCATTGATAGCTTCCTCTTGTCTTCCGAAGACAAACATGCAAAATCACCATTACTCGGCAAAAATGGCCCGTGAAGTACATTTATCCATAAATCAAAATCAATGGATTGTATAAAATATTCCATCCGCATTTTCCAATAAGAATAATTTTGGCCATTGAAAAACGGAGGGCGGTGGATGCTTTGGGAATCCATTTGGGCCATTTTTCGATAAATTTGAATTTTAAAAAGAATTAGGGAAAATAAAGTTTTGAGATTTTAAAAATTCAAATTTAAAAAGGACACAACAAGTGGATCTTTGTTGTAGATGCGGTTAAGCACTTTTAACTACGAAACCGCTCTGATACCAATTGTTAGTTGGTTAAGTCGTTGTGCCCACGCCTTAGAGGGGGGGTGAATAAGGCGTTTGAAAACTTTTCAGAGTTTAATAAAAACGGTGTTGGCAAATGCGGAAGCAATATATAAAACGCAAAAATAAAAGCGTAAATAAAATGCACACCGAATTTATACTAGTTCGGGAACTCCCTACTCCAGTACCTCGAGGCTCCTCCTCAAGGATTTCCGAATCCACTAAGTCTCGGTCTCTTGAACTCCGTCAAAGCACCGTACTAGTTTGGCAAACAACCCTTGCCAATAGGATTTACTCCGAGATTTCACCACGGCTATCTTGAACCGTTTACAATGAAGATTTAACGGCTATCTTCTACCGTTCCCCCAAGGATTTCAAAGGCTATCCTTGAACCTTTACCCAAGGATTTATACGGCTATCCTCGACCGATACAATATGATAATTTAACGGCTATTCTCGACCGTATAAAGATGTGTTTGAAAAACACAAACAAGAGTTCTACACAACGGCTTGAATATAAAAATGAAGAACAAAACTTAGCCGGTGTAGAAGGAAATTATACTCTCTCAAAAATATAATATAAACTTATGAATATGAGAGTATATAACTAGAAACACAAGCTCAAAGTGTGTGTAAAAATCAGGAATTTAAGGCTCTTAAAATAGCCAAAATATTGAAAGTAATGAATAAGAGAATGAACACACTTAGAATAAAAAGGGAGGATGTTTAGAGCTTTGTTTCTTGAAGAAATATGAAGGATTAGGCTTGTATTTATAGTGGAAGATGTTAATTAGCCGTTGGGAGGTGATTAGGTGTAACACCCTAATCCGTCCAGGTCTGCAGCCCCTTTCAGACTAAAGTATTTAACTTGGTAATTGTAAAAATTTAAAACTTTTCAAACAACTTTATTTATCACAATAAAATTTTTCATAACATATACAGTACGGAGTATTCAATAATATTGCGGAAGCGAATTTAATATTGACACATCATAAATTATTTCAAACTTGTCACATCCATTCCGACAATCTCGCCCCATCTGCCGCCAGGATCACATTGGTCTTTCTACTTTACCTGCGTGTAGCAAATAAAACACACTACACGCTCAGCGGTAAAGCTGAGTAAGCATATCTAATGCGTCGAACATCCATATAAACTGAATCTAAATTCATAATCAAATCATTTGATATCATGCACACAATGTTCATTTCAGACATTCACAGTTTTGGTATTGTTTAGTTCATATCAACACATTTTATTCAATTCAGATACTATTTCAATAGTGCTCTTAAATTATTCTTAATCTAAGGCCAAATAATAACAATGCTCTTAGCTCTTCTTAGTCTAAGGCCAGATCATAATTTTCATAACCACATTCTTAAAAGGCAATTATTAATCAGACACTTAAACTATCATAAGTTTAAGGCAATTGATTTCGGACACTTAACTGTAGTCAGTTAAGGCAATCAGACACTTAAACTGTCACTAGTTTAAGGCAAATAATTTCCGACACTTAACTGTAGTCAGTTAAGGCAACAACAATATAGCGATTGATCAACATTGGATCGGGCATTCCCAAACGAGTGATCCTCTAGTTTGGTCTACGAATTCCGTTATTACATTTTTATCCAATCACTGAATATTCATGTTTCACAAATCCATACTAATATGAGATCTATTCTAGAGGTCTTCTAGATAGCCTTAACATCAATTCTCTAAATGGGTATATCTTAGAGTTCTTCTAGATACCCTTAACACTATAAATCATTTCATAATTATAAATGTATTTATTTAAATTATGATTCAATTATAAATACTCATTTTAATCAGTAGATTCATTATTCATAATCATCCATAATATTCATTTATCATAATCATCAATTAACATAACAATTGATAACAAATAGCAACCTAGCTTCGAGTGTTAACACCCGAACTTACCGTCATGCATCACATAACATTTTTACTTGTTAAAAACTTCATTTTTATTATGGTAAATCATTTTCATAATGATCAGAATCAATTGGTATCAAAAATAGGATTTTAGAGCTCAAAAATAGCATTTTCAGACAAATTTTCGGATCACAACTTCGGGGGATCGATCCAGCCCTCTAGATCGATCCATGATATGAAAAAATGTTCCCAGAAGATCGATCCAAGCCTTAGGATCGATCCAGGAAGTGTTTTTCCGCTTACTGCTCATCTTCTTCAACCTTCGGCCCATTTTTTGGAAATCCCATTTTTAGTCATCGAACTTCAACGAAACTATATAGAGATGTTCTCTAAGGTTCATAGATCATTTTGGTATCATTAATTCATAGTTTTAACATCAATTTAATGGTTTATGATTCTTGGTTCTTCAAGCATGTCAAACACAAAACTCAACCAAACGACCGTTTATGAACGTAGAAACGATCTATACGAACATTCTAATCACTAGATATATCTACGGGCTTACCTCGAAGCTTATCGAAGGTTTTGAAAATTTTCCGGTGAAACTTCCGGCGATGATTACTCCCAATTCCGGCGACTTCGGCGGCAACCAACAACAACAGATTGCTCTCCTTACTCTTATGAACACAATGGTATATATTTCCAGAAAATTGGTGAAGAATTAGTAAGGATTGGATATCCTTATATAGGAGAAGAGAAGGGGAAGAAGACATTGGTAGCTGACTCATTTCTACGTAGAAATTCCTTAGTGCGCAGGACGGCGATTCTAATTGATCTACACGCTGTTCCCTGATTGGGACCAATTTGGTTCCAGTGGGGGTACACTTTTTGGTCCAAATTTCTCCGAATTGAATTCCGTTTGCACCGTTGCGATCAGACAGTTAAACTCTGTTGGGAAAAATATTATAGATTTTGATGATGATGTATTTAGAATGTAATAGGGACTTTAGGTCTCCCCAAATATTCAATGTAATTTTTCTTTTTAGAAATATTGTTAAAACCAAGTTCTTGAGATTTCCAATAAAGTTGTGATATTTCTTTAAGCGGTTTGATGCCTGAAGACTTAATCAAATTCAGTGATTTGGAAATTGGATATCTTGATCGGAAATGTCAGAGACAAGTAAGGATTTCTCAAAGCAGATGAAAATTCTCCAATCCGGAAGACTACATGAGAACCGGATGTCTCGCTACAACCCGCTGAAGGCTAAGTCGGAAGACTAGCGCGGATTTCTTTCTCACCCGGAAGACTGAGTATGACTCTTCCGGATTTGTCAGCTAAAAACCGGATGCCTCAAGAAATACTGGAATTCTTAGAAAGCAGACAAGTGAGAAAAGACTTAGAAAATCATCTAAGTCTTGAATGAAGAAATTCTACCCGTTGGTAAGGAAAAATCAATCTCTTGATTTTCAACGGCTAGATTGAAGATAATTATGCTGATTTAAGAACAAATGACTAGAAGACAAAGTCTGGACCTCTAAAAAAATTGAAGAGCCAGTCCAGAATTCCTAAACAAGCACTAGAAGACAAACAGAGTAAAGTGCTATAGTCTAGAATTCTTGAACAATAGCTAGAAGACGGATTCTGTGGAAAAAGGAATCCCTCTTTAAACAATTGGGTATGTCCAAACACCCATTCCAATGAGGAATCTTCAAATCACAATCTTCATTCAAAATTGAAGCCAGCAAATGCAACAGATAGTCTATTTTGATTCAACGGATAGATTATCCAATCCAGCTATAAATAGCATCCTTGGAAGACTGGAGAAAAAAAAACAACGACAACAATAAGATAAACAACCACAACAAAGCTATCTCATTCACAGTTAGCCCAAAAGCTTGATAAAGAGAGATTTCTAAACTACTTATCCAGAAGCAAACTTCTCCTCCTTCCCAAAGAGCTATAGTGTAAACACTTGAAGGTTTCCTTGCCTCAAGTACCACACCACGTTGAAGGATACAACTTTTGATCAAACTTATTGATTAAAAAGGGGGTAGGTCAACTTTCTTACAAGTTGGTCTTACAAGTCCTATTGTTCGGAACTTGCAGTTGTTGAAGAAGCGTGACCTTCGAAGGAACAACAAAAGTCAGCACGAGTGCAGTAGCAACATTGGCCTTGCCAAGATATACCGTGCAGAAATTCACACAAGTGTAATTGTTGGTTCATTATTCAACAACCAACTACATAGTGGATTTTGAGGACGTAGAAGGATTACCCCACCTTCGAACCTCGTTAAAGTTTGCTTGTCTCTCTCTTTTATCTCTATTCTTACTTGCAATTATATTAACTGTGAAAACTAACCCATCCATATTGAATACTGCTCACTCTACCCACCAAATTCCGCACACAATCTAAAGTTCACAAGAACTCTAGATTAACACTCATTTTCACATTTTCGAAAGAAACGAAAAAGTTTTAAATTTGTAACAAAGTCTATTCACCCCCCTCTAGACTTTGTATCTCACCACTTTGGGACCACCAATTTGTATCGGAGCAGACTTCTCACTATCTACGTCTAGATTAACGAGAAGCGATCAAAATGGTGAACAATATGGATTACGGTTTGCCCAAGTTTTCTCTTCTAGGTTATGATGATTGGAAGATCATGATGGAAGCACATCTCTACGCTCTACATGATTGCATGTGGATGGTGCTTGAGGATGGACCCTTGAAAATCCAAATGGAGAATCCTGAGAGGAATCCAGCCGCCCCAGATGTAGTCCAGTACATTCCAAAGCCCAAGGAAAAATGGGATGATAGAGATTGCAAAAAGCACAATCTGGACAATGTCGCCAAAGCAGCCATCTTCAAGACACTTGATCCCATCACCTTCTCCAAAATTAAGCATCTCAAGACTGCCATGGAGATATGGCAAGGTCTTGGGAAGCTATGTGAGGGATCAGAGGACCTGAGAAAGCAGAAGATAGAAGTCCTGCTTGAGAAGTTCAAAAGCTTCAAAATGCTTCTCGGAGAATCATTTGATATGTAGGATGAAAGATTCCACAAGATATTGAATGATCTTGCTTCACTTAACCACATTCTTTCTCCCAAAGAAAAGAATGTAAGGTTGCTGAGATCACTTCCAACTGAGTGGTACACCAAAGCCACAGCCATTGAAGAAGGGAGAAACCTGGAGAACTACACTGTTCAAGGTCTCCTTGATGAGCTCAGAACCTATGAGCACGAGCTGAAGAAGAAGAAGGAAGAACAAGTCACTCCCTTCCCCACGGCATTGATGACAACTCCAAGAGTCCCATCAAGTGAAGGGACATGCACAAGAAACTGTGACACACCTTCCTCCAGCCAGCCGTCAAGCTCAAAAATGGAGAACTACGATGAGGAATTTGCCATGATGGTCAAGAAATTCCGGAAGTTCAAGAAGTTCTTCAAGAAGGCTGACTCAATCAGAAGGCCATCCAAGGGAAAGCCACAGGTAAGTGACTCCCCTCCTGAATCTTATTTATGTTATAACTGCAGAAAGCCTAGCCACTAGAAGTCAGCATGCCCGTACCCTAAGGTGGAAAAGTACGGAGAAAGAGAAAGAAACGAGAAGAAAAAGAAGGCAATGGTTGCTGCTGAAAGTGACGAGTCATCCAGCTCAAGCTCGGATGAAGTAGCCCTCGTTTGCATGGAGCACAGAGCTGAGAAGTCCAACCATGAAGATAGGTGGGCTATGTCAGAAGATGACACTCTCTGCCTAATGGCCAAAGATGATGCTGATCAAGAGGTAACTTCACAAACCTCCTGCTCATCTTCTTATGAAAGCATACCAACTTCTGAAAATCTTTTTGACCAGTTCAAAAAGATGATGGAAGACTTTGAGGAAATAAATCTCAAACTTTCATCCTTAACAGAGGAGAACAAACAATTGAGTGAAGAGAATCTTAAGTTGACTGAAGGTCGGAAAAGTCAACTAGATGAGATCACTCAACTCAAGACTGAAAATGAATCTCTCTCTGAAAAGGTGAAATCCCTCAACAAGGAGCTAGGGATACTTAAGTCCAAAGAAGCAGTGGATAGACTTCTTGAAATGACCAAACAAAAGGGTCGTGAAGGACTTGGGTTTGACCCCTCTAGTTCCAAAAGGAAAGGGAGAACAACCTTCATCCCTCCTAAACCTACTGCCAAACCAAATAAGCAGAAAGGAAAGGAAAAGGAGAAACCAACAGAAGTTCCCAAAAAGGTAGTCCCTCCTAAGAACTATAGGAAGCTGGACAGACCTCAAAGAGGAAATAACTTCAGAAGAAAACCTTCTAACCCCCACTATACACGAGGCTATACTCATTATGGGGTAGATAGGAGTTTTCCAAGAAATTCTGAGTGGAGAACTATGCCAAGATATAGTCACCCTCCACCCCAGAAATTATTTGTGCCACCTATGTATGCTTATAACCGACACAGGTCACACTATGCACAACCTAGACAAAACTATAGGTCTTATCAACCTAGGTTTGTTAGGAGGAAACAGGAAATTGCACCTCCTGCACGTAGGAAATTCTATGCCTACAACTATGATTACAATCCCAACAAGTTTAGAGCTGCAAGGAAAATTCCCTGCAACTTCAAACTTGATGTAGGGACACACACCATTAACTACTCCGGACCCAAACTTAATTGGGTACCAAAATCTTCCTCCTCCTAATGCAGGAAGCCACAAGTACCCAGGTGTCTGGTACTTAGACAGTGGCTGTTCAAGACACATGACGGCACTACGCTCGGAAAACTCGTTAGATTAAGGGATACTACCAGGTTCTCAATGAAAACCTCCTTCGTTACTAAAACCGGAATGATTTCCCGATCCTTTAGACCACATGTTCCCTGATTGGTAGGTTCGACATAGAATACAACTTCCAGTCAATTATAACCTTCTTAGCATAAGTCAGTTTTGTGATAAAGGTTACTCCTTAGAATTCTGCAAGGACATGACATCCCTCAAGAACATTTCCACAAATGAAGTCATTCTCACTGGGAAGAGAATCAGAAACATCTATGAAGTAATGTGGGACAATGTCAAGGAAGCATGTCTAATCAGCAAAGGTGACACTAACCTTCTATGGCTTTGGCATAAGAGGTTGAGTCATCTCAACTTCAAAACTCTCAACAAGCTGTCCAAAGAAGGATTAGTAGAAGGTCTTCCCAAAGTTGAATTCAGAAAGGAAAGCATTTGTGATGCTTGCCAGAAAGGAAAGCAAGTCAAGTCTACTTTCAAGGCAAAACCGGCACCCTCAACTACAAGGATATTAAGTCTTATTCACATGGACTTATTTGGACCTGTTACACCAATAAGTCTAAGTGGAAAGAAATATGTCCTGGTGATAGTTGATGATTACTCAAGATACACGTGGACAATCTTCCTCAACAGCAAGAAGGAGACTCAAGGGAAACTCACCAACTGCATGAAGCTAATTCAAAACCAAGCAAGTCAGACCGTTCAGAAGATCAGATCTGACAAAGGCACAGAATTCCTGAATGAAATCATCATTCACTACTGTGAAGAAAACGGAATTCTCCATCAGACATCCGCAGCAAGGACGCCTCAACAGAATGGTGTAGCTGAAAGAAGGAACAGAACCTTGAAGGAAGCAGTAAGGACCATGCTAGCCGAAGTTTCTTTGCCAAAGAGGTTCTGGGCTAAAGCTATTAACACAGCTTGCTATACTCAGAATAGGAGTATGATTTATAAAAGGCACAACAAAACTCCTTATGAACTATGGAACGGGAGAAAGCCTAATATATCATATTTCTATATTTTTGGGAGCAAGTGCTTTGTGTTAAACAACGGGAAGAATCATCTGAACACTTTTGATGAGAAATCAGATGAGGCCATCTTCCTTGGATACTCTACGGTGAGCAAGGCATTCAGAGTCTTCAACAAAAGAACCATGATCACTGAAGAGTCAATACATGTTATTTTCGATGAAAAACATGTGGTTGACTTGCCATCAAAGCATGATCATGAGGTTCTGGATCTATCAGACAAGGATGAAGAAGTCAATGAAGGAGATAGAATGAAGCCTACGGAGTTCATTCCATTCAAAAGTCTACCACTGAAGACTTCACAGAGAAATCCGGATTCAGACAGTGCTGAGCCTTCCGGAAATCCTGGCCAGCCCTCCAATATTCTGGATCACTCAAACGGCAAAAATTCTGGAAATGGCGACCCAGTGCCAATCCATCTGGAAACACCAACAACTTCTGTTCTTCAACCAGAAGCTGAACTAGATCAACCAGTCAATCCCAATCAACACAACCTTCGTTGGTTAAGGGATCATCCTCCTCAACAGATCATTGGAGATATTCAATCTGGCGTTCGCACAAGGAGTGCCCAACAGAATCTAGAAGCTATGCTTGCTTGTTTCATCTCACAAGTGGAACCAAAGAATATTGAAGAAGCTCTAGCTGATTCTGATTGGATCAATGCAATGCAAGAAGAACTCAACCAATTTTCCAGAAATGACGTCTGGAAACTTGTTCCCAGACCTACTCATTAACATGTCATTGGGACAAAGTGGGTCTTCCGGAACAAGATGGACGAAAACGGCGTTGTTGTCAGAAACAAAGCCCGGCTAGTTGCAAAAGGATATTGTCAAGAAGAAGGTATAGATTTTGATGAAACCTTCGCTCCAGTTGCTAGACTTGAAGCTATAAGGCTGTTTCTAGCCTTTGCTGCTCACAAGGACTTCAAAGTCTATCAAATGGATGTCAAAAGCGCTTTTCTCAACGGAAACCTCGAGGAAGAAGTTTATGTGGAACAACCTCCAGGATTTGAGTTACACACTGAGGGAGATCAAGTGTATAGACTCAAAAAGGCGCTATATGGACTCAAACAAGCTCCAAGAGCTTGGTATGATACATTGTCTCAATTTCTTATAGACAATGGATTTACCAAAGGAGTCATTGACAAGACATTGTTCAAACTACAAGATGGAGAAGATCTCTTATTGGTCCAAATCTATGTGGACGACATCATATTTGGCTCAACTAAGGAAGATCTTTGCACCAGGTTCTCCACCCTCATGCAAGGAAAATTTGAGATGAGCATGATGGGGGAACTCAACTACTTCCTTGGCCTTCAAATCAAACAGAGAAGCGAAGGAACTCTCATCAACCAAGCCAAGTACACAAGGGATCTTATCAAGAAATTCAAAGTTGACCAGAAGTCATCCGTTTCTGTCCCCATGAGTACATCCACCAAGCTTGATATGGATGTAGATGGAAAGGATGTTGATCAAACTCGCTATAGAGGAATTGTTGGATCACTACTCTACCTTACTGCAAGCCGTCCGGATATCTCATATGCAGTAGGTGTTTGTGCCAGATTCCAGTCAAAGCCAAAGGAAAGTCATCTGATAGCAGCTAAAAGAATTCTTAGGTACCTCAAAGGAACTCAGAACATGGGTTTGTGGTATGCTAAGAGCACTTCATTTGAGTTAGTGGGATACTCAGATTCTGACTTTTCCGGATGCAAAGTTGACTGGAAAAGTACTTCTGGTACTTGTCAATTCATTGGTGGAAATCTTGTTTCTTGGTTCAGTAAGAAACAAAACTCCATTTCTACATCAATAGTAGAAGCAGAGTACATTGCTGCTGGTAGTTGTTGTGCTCAAATTCTGTGGCTGAAGCAACAACTACTGGACTATGGAGTCAAGACAAAGGAAGTGACAATCTTTTGTGACAATCAAAGTGCTATAGCCATCTCACAAAATCCAGTGCATCATTCTCGCACTAAGCACATTGATGTCAAGCATCACTTCATCAGAGATCATGTGGAAAAGAAAGATATCAAAATTGAGTATATCTCAACTGAANAAGCAACAACTACTGGACTATGGAGTCAAGACAAAGGAAGTGACAATCTTTTGTGACAATCAAAGTGCTATAGCCATCTCACAAAATCCAGTGCATCATTCTCGCACTAAGCACATTGATGTCAAGCATCACTTCATCAGAGATCATGTGGAAAAGAAAGATATCAAAATTGAGTATATCTCAACTGAAAAACAACTGGCGGATATCTTAACAAAACAACTAAGTGAAGCCAAGTTTTCCGATTTGCTTCACAGAATTGGTCTAATTCAATTAGACTGAGTGCGGTACACGTGGCAGTTCACTTTCCACGTCTGTCAAAATATTGGGTAGGCACGTGGCCTTGGGAATAGTCAAAAACCCAATCGCCACTAGCCGCTTAAATCGCCCAAATCAAACCCAATCGCCACTATTCAGATCTCAACTGTCCACTCAAAGTTTTTCATCGTCTTCTTCGCGAGAAACACTCAAGAACCCTAAGATTTTTTCAGAATCTCACTCAAATTTCTGAGAAAATGAAGGTTGTCGGCGCAATTGTTCATTTCCAGAAGTTGGAAGCCAATTGCTCCTCACCGGCATTCTATCAAAGCTATCTGGAGATGATAGCCGCTCAAGAACTCTCCGAATTTCTTCAAATGAAGATTCGCCTCAAATTTGAAGAAGAAGTTCTTGAATTCTACAGAAATGGAAGGGTCATATCTGTTAAATCAAAGAAGGACCCACAGAGGATGATTCAAGTCATCAAGTCGACTATTGGAAGGACCAAAGTGAAACTTTCGCAGAAGAAATTGGGAGAAAAGCTTCATCTTCCCAATTCTGGAGTTGAAATTGGGAGATTTCCAGTCAAGAATCTGGACTGGAACATCATTGGAATTTCTGGGCAAGCTCCTTCTGGCCCAGCAAAGAAAGCAGATCTGAACAACGACTACAAGTTAGTTTTGGAACTGGTCATCGCTTGCCTCGAGTGTGGAAGTGGAGGTCATGCCGATGACATCACGCAGGAGAGAGCCTTCATCATCAACGCTCTCATTACCAAATCTAAGGTAAATTGGGCTGCACACTTCTTCAAATCCATCTCAAAACATCTGGGAAAGCACAATCAGAAGTACCTTTGTCAAGGTCTGTACATTGGACATATTTTGGAGTCTATGGGTGCTGCTTCTAAAGGAAAGAAGTATGAAGAAAGATATTGGTTATATTATCTGTCTTCAAAAGGGGAAAACAGAGCTGGTTCTAGTGCTACTGCAGAGGAATGCTCTTCAGATAATTTCCCACTCATCAACTTGACGAAAACAGCCAAGAGAAAGCATGTGGTGTCTCCCTCTCCAAGTGTTGAAGCACCACAGAACCTTGCTTTGGTCAATCTTGAAGAAGTAGAAGAAGTCTCTGACCAAGGAGAACTTCATAAGAAGAAGAAGAAGAGGAAAATCACCTCTCCTTCAACATTTGGAAATGTCAACTCGGATAAGTTGAAGGAGAAGGAACCTGCTGAGGAAACCTCTGCCCACAACCGGAGTCCTCAACAACTTGAAGAAGAAATTCATCAAGTTCAAAGCCTTCCAACCTCATCACCTCAACCTCAAATAGATGATGCTGATAACCAATTCTGGCAGCTCTACTATGATTGGAGAGCCTGGAAAGTTGGAAATTCAACAGAGCAATTGTTGGATTGGGACCAACAACTGAAGAATGAGAAGATTATCAAGAAGTGCTTAGGAATACCAGTCAACCACAGCTGTGAACAAATTTTGGATGACCACTGGGTATGGCAAAGGAACCATGAAGACTTGCATCTGGAGTACCTGGCCGACACACCAGCTTCAGAATTTGATGTGGATGATGAGGATCCTGCAGTCTACAAACCAGTCCTCTCAAAAACCACAGAAGATCAGGTGGTTCTCACTTCTGAAGCACAGGCTAACTTGGAAGCAACAGCTGAGGATTTCCAAATATTTCCGGAAACCTCATCTGCCTTTGAAACGGTTCTACCTGAAGCTGCAGTCTCTACTCCACAAAAACAGAACCAGGAAGGATCAGATGAAGAACTTCACCAACATCTCCAGTCTCAAGACCTTGAGATTCTCACAACTGCTTGTGAGATATCCAACCAGCCTGAACTTGAGATCCCGGAGAAGTCAGGAGAAAATCTGGATCAGTCCACTTTTCCAGAAGCAACTGAAGCCCAAGAGGAACGAGCTGTAGAAGCCTAGAGGAGTTCTGCAGAAGCTCAGAAGGAAACTCAAATGGCAGAACTGGAGGCCTCTAAATCTCCAGTAGCCATTTTTGAAGAACAGAATGAAGTTGAAGAAAGAGACTCCCTCTCTAGGGATATATCAAATTTTATACTTGAGGAAGCAGAAGAAGAATCTGAAAGGACGCTGAGGATCAATGATGAAGAAGATGTGCAAGACGATGCTGAATCTCTTCCTATGCAACTTTTCCAAAGAACACCCTCTTCTCATCAGGTAACCAACTTCCATTTCCATAGCCCTTCCATTCCTACTCTTCCGGATGAGGTACTGGAAACCTGGACAAAGAAGGTCCAAGGGTTGATTGAATCAGCTCTAGCATCTCAACATGCCTCCTTTAGGCAAGAGATAGAGCAGATGGAAGCCAGGTACAACAAGCTGATTGAGAAATCCGAAGAGACACACTGCTCCAATCTCAAGGAGATAAGCAAATCAGTGGATAAGACTCTAGAGATCATTTCTCTATTGAGTAACACTGTGAGCAACATGATGGAGACATATGCATCTGACAGTTATCTTCAACTCAAGGAGGTTAACAAAGTCAGAGAGCAAATAGCAAATGTCACAGTTAGTCTACAGAAGCAGTTGTCCCTTCTCCAAATGGACATCAGAGCAGCCCTAGCAGTGTCTTCAGCAAATCAAGTAGTAAACAAAGACTACTTGAAGGTAATCATTGACAATTAGAAGGAAGCACACAAACTATTCAGACTTCTTACCACAAATTCTGGAAATCGGAAGATGGAAGTGATTCTTCAACAACACAGTCCATCCTTGATACGAGAACTCCCCATTGCATTCAAAGAAGGAGAAGTCTCTTATATCCCTTCTCATCTGAACATGACTAATCTAATCCTTGAAGCACAGCAAAGAAATCCGGAGAACTCAGCACAGCACCTATCCAGCTCAGGATTGGATGGAACATAGGCTGTAGGAACAATTGCTGCTCATTTCTCAAATGATGATCAAACAGAGGAAAGACGCAACAATATAAGGCGCATCAAAGAACTGTGTGGAAACATGAATGGTATCACTGAGGCTGCCGGATCTTCAAAACGCAAGAGGAACTGAAGGTTCTTTTCATCAAACCAGGGGGAAAGTATGTGAAAACACTAATTTGTTTTGATGAAAACACCTTCTTGTTTAAACATTGCTTGATCAGTTTAAACATTGCTTCAATCTCTCTCTTAATTGTGCTTATTATGCTTGATTATGCCTAATTAAAGTATGATTTTGAGAATTCTTTTGATAAAGCGCATACATTGAGGGGGAATGTAATTCAGGGGAAACTTAACTAGTTTTTTGCTAACAATTGTTTTTGGCAATGAATTATTAATGAGCTCTAAGCAATGGAAGACGGATATCTAAGTTTTGGTACTAAAATTGGAAATCTCCGATTCAGGTACTTTACAAAATCTGCCTTCTCAAACTAAGCTTTAGTCCTTAATTCATTTCCAACAAGCTCTAAAAGTACTGGTCCTTAGAATTTTTAAAATGTACAGGACTTTGGAAAAATAGTACCACTTTTCTTTTAAAAATAAATTTCATATTCTTTTTGGTACTATCTCGTCCTAATTAGAAATTAGAACTATAGGGAATGAAAAATGATAGTTTTATTTTGGGCCTTGAGAACCCAATAGGAATAATTTCCCTTTAGTACATAGCTTTCATTTCTTTTTGGGCCACTCTTTTGGGCTTAGCCAAACTAAAACAGTTACGTTTCTCAAACAAAACGAAACAGATTTTTAATTGGAACAGTTTCAACACCTTGATAACTGGTAAAAGATTCCTTTCACTTTTCAACTTCTTGGAAGTTGAAACTCCTTTACTCTCACCGTTCCAACTACTCTCTTAATGGAACCCGTGAACCTCCTCCTCTCTTATTTAAATCAAGACATCCCAATCAATTCCTATCACAAACAACTCTTTCAATATGAAAAGTCTTCAAACTCACTGTCTGAGAAAAACACCAAGAAAATATCCTCAATGGAGAAATTTTTCTTTCTCACCCTCATAGACGGCAAGGGAGAAAAGCCTAGTGAGAAGAAAAGTAATTTAAAGTATATGGTGCAATTCTCGGCAGTAGAAAAAGTATATGGTACAATTCTCGTATTTTTCAGGATTACACCATACACTTTCTCTGGAACAACACTCTCTCTATTTTTTCTTTTTATTTTTACCTTGATCTCTTTCCCCTCCCTCTCTTTTTTTTAGACTTAATTTTTTTTTTGAGCAGTCGCCACACTCTTCTTACAAGTTTTTTTTAAAAAAATTTTGTGTTGCCTCTGCTCCCTTCTCCCAAGCATTTTTCAAAATCACTTTTTCAATTTGTTTTATTCTAAAACTCTTTTTCAAAATTTCTTTTAAATTTTTTTTTTATTTTTGCCTTCATCTTTAAAAACTTTTACTTTATCTTTTTCACAATCAATTCTCTTTTCCAAAACCTTTTCTTTTTTGTCTTTCTACCTTTTCTTTTGTTTTCTTCTTTCGTGTTTTGTTCTTGTTTTTGCTTTTTGAGAGATATGTTGCTTCCAAGATCTTGAATACCCACTTTGGATATTAAAGATCTATCAAACGCAACGCCAACCGCTCTGCCAAGCAAGTTCTGCTGAAGCTGAAAACGGTTAATGGTGGAAAATATCACAAAATCTCAAGACAAGACTTGGTTTAGGAATTATTGTAATTTGAATTGTATTTGTTTAAGAGTTTTTGTTAACAAGCTGTATATTATGAGAAACTAAAAGAAAGTTACAAAATTAGTTCTCAGTATAGCGACCGGAACTCTTAAACACTTGTTTGTCATCATCAAAAAGGGGGAAATTGTTGGGAAAAATATTATAGATTTTGATGATGATGTATTTAGAATGTAATAGGGACTTTAGGTCTCCCCAAATATTCAATGTAATTTTTCTTTTTAGAAATATTGTTAAAACCCAGTTCTTGAGATTTCCAATAAAGTTGTGATATTTCTTTAAGCGGTTTGATGCCTGAAGACTTAATCAAATTCAGTGATTTGGAAATTGGATATCTTGATCGGAAATGTCAGAGACAAGTAAGGATTTCTCAAAGCAGATGAAAATTCTCCAATCCGGAAGACTACATGAGAACCGGATGTCTCGCTACAACCCGCTGAAGGCTAAGTCGAAGACTAGCGCGGATTTCTTTCTCACCCGGAAGACTGAGTATGACTCTTCCGGATTTGTCAGCTAAAAACCGGATGCCTCAAGAAATACCGGAATTCTTAGAAAGCAGACAAGTGAGAAAAGACTTAGAAAATCATCTAAGTCTTGAATGAAGAAATTCTACCCGTTGGTAAGGAAAAATCAATCTCTTGATTTTTAACGGCTAGATTCAAGATAATTATGCTGATTCAAGAACAAATGACTAGAAGACAAAGTCTGGACCTCTAAAAAAATTGAAGAGGCAGTCCAGAATTCCTAAACAAGCACTAGAAGACAAACAGAGTAAAGTGCTACAGTCCAGAATTCTTGAACAACAGCTAGAAGACGGATTCTGTGGAAAAAGGAATCCCTCTTTAAACAATTGGGTATGTCCAAACACCCATTCCAATGAGGAATCTTCAAATCACAATCTTCATTCAAAATTGAAGCCAGCAAATGCAACGGATAGTCTATTTTGATTCAACGGATAGATTATCCAATCCAGCTATAAATAGCATCCTTGGAAGACTGGAGAAAAAAAAAACAACGACAACAATAAGATAAACAACCACAACAAAGCTATCTCATTCACAGTTAGCCCAAAAGCTTGATAAAGAGAGATTTCTAAACTCCTTATCCAGAAGCAAACTTCTCCTCCTTCCCAAAGAGCTATAGTGTAAACACTTGAAGGTTTCCTTGCCTCAAGTACCACACCACGTTGAAGTATACAACTTTCGATCAAACTTATTGATTAAAAAGGGGGTAGGTCAACTTTCTTACAAGTTGGTCTTGCAAGTCCTATTGTTCGGAACTTGCAGTTGTTGAAGAAGCGTGACCTTCGAAGGAACAACAAAAGTCAGCACGAGTGCAGTAGCAACATTGGCCTTGCGAAGATATACCGTGCAGAAATTCACACAAGTGTAATTGTTGGTTCATTATTCAACAACCAACTACATAGTGGATTTTGAGGACGTAGAAGGATTACCCCACCTTCGAACCTCGTTAAAGTTTGCTTGTCTCTCTCTTTTATCTCTATTCTTACTTGCAATTATATTAACTGTGAAAACTAACCCATCCATATTGAATACTGCTCACTCTACCCACCAAATTCCGCACACAATCTAAAGTTCACAAGAACTCTAGATTAACACTCATTTTCACATTTTCGAAAGAAACGAAAAAGTTTTAAATTTGTAACAAAGTCTATTCACCCCCCCTCTAGACTTTGTATCTAACCACTTTGGGACCACCAAACTCTATCCAACGGTATAATTTTTATATTTATTTGTAACACTTTTTCCGACATCATATTTTTGGGTGTTTGACTTTGACAGAGTCAAAATTGATTTAATTGACTTTTACCATAAAAGGTTCTCACATCTAATTCATATCATTTATTCTCATGATTTATTTCAATAAATCATTTTAAAGTTCGCATCATAATTAATTTCTTCATTTATTCTTGATTTGGGTCTGTACTCAGGTTCCCAATCAAGACCACACAAATAATCAACATATAGGATTTATCTTTATGAGATTTATCCTGACTATGATATTGGATATCAAGACATATTTCGTATCGGCCCAAAGCCCAACAACAATTTATTTTAATCAAAACAAATTTGTTTAATCAAATATTTATTTATTAATAATTCTAGGGTATGTTTTGGGGCGTTACATTAGGGGTGATTTGAATTTAAATTGCCAATTTGCTACAGTGATTACAACGGATCCGGTACCCTTCACGGTAGGGTCAGTACCGTTCGGTACTTAGGTACCGTGACCACGGTATAGCCTACGGTTTGGGGGTACCGTGTAAGCCAAAAGTTCGGTTCGCCTCTGGCGGTACCTGGTTAGGACGGGTTGGGCCAACCGTCTACGCCTACCGTCCGGTACCCAGGTACCGTTACACGGTATGGGGGTACCGTGTAGGCGGTATACCCTACCGTTTGGGGTACTGCTAGGGGTACCGTGCCACTGTCTTGAGTTTTCCAAAATTTCCCGTAATCCTTCTTGTTTGAGTTTAAAACCTTTTAGATGTTTGAAAGTGTTTATGGGATGGTTTTAAACATATTTTGTGAGTGCTTTTGAGCATGTGAATATAGGTATATAAAGTCACATCCTTAAATTGGTTTCTATCTATATTCTACGCTAGTTTAGTGTTTCGACTTCATTCTTGAGTACCGAATCTTAATGGATTCTTGTTTTTCCTGAAACACTTAAACAAACGTTAGCTCCTATATTGTTTGTTAACATCAAAACATGAGGCTTAGCAAACCAAGGCTAACAGAGACCCCACGCGCAGCTCAGACAAAAGATTTTGAACCCAAGCAAGCTCAGCGACAGCATTGGCAAGGGCACGATACTCAGCCTCTGTCGACGAACGAGAAACCGTTTTCTGGCGGGTAGATTTCCAAGAAATAATGTTGGAGCCCAGATACAGAACATAACCTGTCTTAGACCGACCACCATCAGTAACACCTCCCCAGTCAGCGTCAGAAAATGCAGAAAGCTGTAGAGAGACGGTCTTAGAGAGAAACAAGCTATGAAACAGCGTAGACTTGAGATACCAAAGAAGACGCTTGAGTGCCTCCCAATGGCCTATAGTGGGAGCATGCATATACTGGGCTAGCCAATTAACAGCAAAGGAAACATCAGGCCGAGTGAGGGAGATATATTGCAAACGACCAAGAACTCAGCGAAAAGAAGGAGCATCGGTGGGGGGAGCTACGACTGACGACACTAGAGAGGAAGGCACCGTCATAGGTGTTGAGGTACCCCTCGCATCAGCCATGTCCATACTATCAAGAATATTAGTAATATACTGAGCCTGAGACAAAAACAAACCAGAAGGCATAGGAATAACTTCAACCCCAAGAAAATGACTGAGGGTTCCCAAATCCTTCAAAGAGAACCTGCGCGACAGTGTCTCAACAAAAAAGCTAATAAACACAGATGAGTTGCCGGTAATAATAATATCATCCACATACACTAAAAAATAAGCCAACACACGATCCTTGGCATACACGAACAAAGAGGAATCAGCCCGCGACTTACAAAAACAAGTGGCACGTAAGAAAGCTGATAAAGAATCATACCATGCGCGGGGAGCTTGTTTTAGCCCATAGATAGCCTTAGAGAGTCGACACACATGCGAAGGAAAATCTGGATGAACATAACCAGGAGGCTGCTCCATAAACACCTGCTCGGACAACGTACCATTAAGAAAGGCATTATTAATATCCAATTGCCGCAGGTTCCAATTTTGCGCAAGTGCAATACTCAAGACGAGACGAATCATGACCAGCTTCATAACCGGACTGAAAGTCTCAAAATAATCAAGACCAGGCTCCTGTAAATACCCCTTGGCAACTAGACGGGCTTTAAAACGATCAACGGACCCATCCGGACGACGCTTGATACGAAACACCCATTTGCATCCAATCGGACGTTGCGCCCCCCGAGGTACGAGTTCCCATGTGGCATTTTTTAATAACGCTTGATACTCCGCATCCATTGCCGATCGCCAACGAGCATCTTTGAGAGCTTTAGCAACGGTTTTGGGTTCAAGAGACTCGGGCAGCGGATGACGAGTAGTGACATGAGACTCCGGAGAACTGGTGACAAACTTGGGATTGAATATTTTGGGGTTAGGCCGTCTCTAACGAACGGGACGCAAGGCACCAACATTTGGAGCGGGAATCGAGGGAGCAGACTAAGTGGGAACAGGGGGAGAAGCTGCAGCAGACGACGTTGGAGGAGTCGTCGCTGGGTCGGGAGTTGGAACCGGTTGGGAGAGGGACTGACCTCGAGAAACATCGGAGGCTAGAGGATGGCGAACCGCTGGAAGAGGAATTACAGGCGGCTGTGAGGCAGAGAAGGACGAGAGGGACGCAAAAGGGTAGTGATGCGGAGCAAATTTGACATGGCGGGATATATAGAGACGGTGGGTTGTAGGGTCAAGACACATATAGGCAGACTGACTAGTGGAGTAACCGACAAACACACACGAGATAGACTTTGGTTGGAGTTTAGACTTGGCGTACGGGCGAAGCCAAGGATAACACAAACACCCAAACGGTTGAAGTTTGAGATAGTTCAGATCTCGGCGAAAAAGACATTGATATGGACTGCAATTTTATAGGAGAGGAGTTTGCATACGATTTATGAGATAGACCGCAGTTTGAAAAGCATACGGCCAATAAACAAGAGACATAGACGCATGATGAAGTAACGACAAGCCTGTCCCAACCGCATGACGATGTCGGCGCTCAGACGTGCCATTATGCTCAGGTGTGTGAGGTGGAGTAGTGAAATGAGACACCCCTTGAGACGCAAGAAACGAACGCAGTTTAATATATTCCCTACCATTGTCAGAATAAAGAGAGATTATTTTGCTGTTGAAAAAATTTTCCACCAACTTTTTATATAATGGAAAAATAGTGGAAACCTCAGATTTGCAACGCAAGGGATAAAGCCACACATACTTGGTGAAATGATCAACAAAGATGACATAGTATTTATACCCATCAACATACACATCATTGCACGACCATACATCAGAGTATATAAGTTGTAATGGTGCAGTACTTGTGAGAGAATTATTGGAGAAAGGCAATTTGTGACTTTTATTAATGGAACACGCAGAACAATGAAAAGTGTCAAAATCAAGTTTAGACACTTGTTTATTACAATATGGTAACATTTGGGACAAGACTTTATTGGAAGGATGCCCAAACGCATGATGGAGATGAGACAAACCAATGTGATTCACTTCCGGTGGACGAACATGAATAGCATAATAAACACCACCATGATTTTTACCGTGAAGAAGAGGCGCATAAAACATTGGTTAACGAAAAAGACCCAGAGGAGGTGGGAATAGAGGTGGTACCAACATGAGAGATTGGGAGACCCTTACCGTTGCCCAAGCGAATTTCATCAGGACCACCGTAGTCGGAGAACGATTGAAGATGCTGAGGTGCGGGAGTGGTGTGGTGACTAGCACCACTGTCAAACATCCACGGATTTATCCCATCAGGAGGGAGAGCCGTGGCGTGCACAGAAGGGGACGACACGCCATATGCCGAAGCAGAAACCGTCTACATGCCATGTTTGCGGAGAAGACGAGCCAGTTTTCGGCATACCTTAATGTCATGTCCGGGAATGGCGCAGAAGTGACACGCCGCAGCTGACCCGTCTTGTCGGCGAGACTGCTTGAAAGCCCCACCTGGAGAGGAACGTTGATGGCCGTAGGAACGAGAAGGATGTGCGGGCTACCCAGACGCATTACCACCATGGGCACGTTGACCAGTGGGGGGATAGCGCTGAGTGGCATTGGCAGTAGCCACCACGCCGGAAGAGACATCATCTAGGAGTTTTAATTTGCGTTCAAAATCACGCAAAATGTCACCAAGTTCGGGAAACAGAAGTTTGGAGCCACGGATGAAAGTAGCAGAGGCAATAGGATCGTACTCCGAACCGAGCTGATTGAGAACATGCGACACCAGATCCTCTTCCTCAACGGGACTTTGATTAAGGGCAAGCTCATTTGCAATGGAGTGCATGTCATGGAGATACTCATTAATGGACCGAGTACCACGCGGATTCTTCCCAAGATTAGACTTGAGAGCTAAAATGTGACCGCGACTCGCACTTGCAAAACTGGAGTGAAGATTGAGCCACGCTTGACGAGCCGTGTCAACATTGGAGATGAGCGATTGAATGGTGTCAGTGCAGCTACCCAAGAGAGCACCGATGATGGATTGATCTTGACGAAACCAGATTAAGTAACATGGGTTAGCGGAGCCGTCAACGATCGTTGGAGGAGCAGTTAGTGTTCCATCAACGTAGCCCAGGAGATTGAGGCCAATGAGAGTGGAGCGAACTTGACGCTGCCAGATCGGAAAATTTTTGGTGATCAGTTTGATCGGAAAATGTGTCTTCGCATGGAGTTGGAGGACAAGTGTATCTTTGGTGATGGCTTATGCCATGTTGCAGCCAATCGAAAAGGGAATCGCAGAGAAAGGATCAAACTAGAAAAAAAATTCTAGGGCTCTGATACCATATAAGAGTTGTAATTGGTGTGAATTCTAGATATCATTTCATGAAGGAAGCCTTTGGCTTTTATACATAAGCATACGTACAGGAGATATACTTGGTCATACTAAACCCAAGCCACAAAGTTAGGAAAGCTAAACCATACGGATATGAATAAACATAGGATAGATACAAATAGATACAATGAACATAGACATTCTAGTTTATAGACATTCTAGTTTAGGTAGAAGTCTCCTTAATATTAGTCGGCTATTCTCCCATGATGTGCGATTTTAGATTTCTTCATCGGCAAAAATTCTCAGTCGTAGATCTTCGCCCACTGAAAGGAAATCTGCAAGGAATGTCAAAAATCCGCTGATTGTTTGCGGATTCTTCGCGTCAATCCCGAAATCTACACCGTCAAACCGTGAAGATTAGCTTATTCTTCAGCATTAATGCGAGATTCAGGTGTTTTCCAAAATACATATGCGATTTTCATTCAATTCATATATATTCGTGTAATTCTCAATATCAGGGCTATGGAATTCCATCCCTATTTCAGATTCTTTGGCTCGATTTCCCTAACTTTTTCGGTCAATTCTTTGATTATGAATCGTGGGTAGATTAATAGCCGGATTCCATACCTAATTTAGATTCGTATTCCGCGTAATTAGATTGGGGAAGAAAGTGAAAGAAAACAACCACATTGGTGTCCATAGGTTATTCTTCGAATGAAGGTTAATTAGGTTTCGAATTGCAGAGGTAATTTCACTTCCTGATTTCTTCCTAGCAGTAATTTCACTTCTTGACGTCTTTTTTTATTTTTTCTTAGTTGGAGTTCTATTTGAAATTCATTTCGACTATTAGGGATTAAGGAGCAATTAATTTCATACTTGAGGAAATAATCTAAAAGAAGTTTATAAAAAAACTCCGTAGTAGAAAATTAAACACTAGCTTCTCTGATTGATTAACCCCATGTTGGAGGTTTGAACTATGAGGAGGTTTGTCAACTCCGTATTACTACATAAGTTTTCTCAAGTGTTTCTAACTATTTCTTGAATATTTATACATCAATCAAAAATTAATGTTTGCATATTTACTATGTTATTATTTACATATATAGAGTTGTGAAGATGTTGTTGGGAAATATTGATTCAATATTCAAAAAGAAAAAAAAGAAGAAGAAAGAGAACTCAAAATAAGGAAGAGGACAAAGGAGATAAAAAAGAAGATATGGATGGTGCAGTGGATGCATCCATCATACATGCATGTGAGAGGTTGTATACATGTGATGTTAAGGGCCCATTTACCATCTTCCTCTTGGATGAGAATCACGTACTACGCATGTATATAACTTGGGTTTTTTAGAATACTGTGTGTGTGGGTTTTACACACCACCAAGGTAGAGAGAGAAAATGGGAGGAATTTTACACAAGAATACCACCGGGAAAATCCAAGGGGTCTTGGTGAGTACGAGTGAGTGTAGGGAAAAACTGGTTTTAGTTACTCGGAAAAATACATCCAGGCATATGATGTGGAAAGATCTGTTTATGAGTGTCTGAAATTTAGTCTTGTAAACAGGGGAGAGTTTTTTGTATATTGACCTAAATAGTGGAAATATAATTTTTTTTCTCTCATATATTCTTCTTGGGTTTGTTCTCTCATTTTTCTGGTGTTCTCAATATTTTTCGGTATCTTACGCGCTTAAAATCCCAACAAATTGGTATCAGAGCTTGGTTGCGCTGGGCAGGAGGGATTTGTAAACGGTAAAAGGAGAATTTATGAGAACCCATGGACTGGTCGGTTTTGGCCAAAAGGCGACCATGGGACTTCAAGAACAAAGTGGATGGCATGAGGACCGGGTACGAAGCGGCATGCTGGCTTTGTGAAGTATGGTGCAGGATCATGACTTGAGGAGACCGATGGTCGTCTAGCGGAGTAGAAAACTGCGGCTTATGTCTTGTGCCGAAAGTCTTCCCGGCAAGAAGAGGTCGGCCGGCGTGTCCCGCAGGTGTTGTTGCGGCGGTGCAAGATGGTCAGATCGAAAGAAGCTAATTGCTAGAGGGGTGGTCTCAGAGAGTGTTAACAAAGGTGAGTTGCCATTTTTTAGCTCGGCGTGGAGGGTTAAAATTCTAAGGAGCTTAGGTAGTGGCGGTGATCTTGACGGGTTGATTGAGATGGAGCCACGGGTACAGCGATAACTGGAAACGGTGAGGACCTTGTCGTATTGAGCAAGGTGAGGCCACGACCATGAGTCAATGTTAGGCGTGTCGTAGCACCTACAAATTAATTTATTATTTTCCTTAACTTTTAACCCCCTTTATGATTCAATATTCATCAAAACATATAGATAGGTCAAGTAAGGGTCGATCCCACGAGGAAAGATACTTTTTAGGCTATGAAAATCAATTTACTTTGTCACTTTTATTGAATAAAAGCTAACGAAAATCTAAAACTAAAACTAAGAGATATGAGGGGTTTGAATGATAATTCTAAAAAGATAAAAATGCAAATAAAATAAAGATAAGGATAACAGATAAGAGATACGAAATGAAACCACAGCAGCAACTCGAACTCGGAAGACACTCAGGGAGAAACAAACACACAAAAACAATCACACAATAAACTTTATAAAAACGTAGAAAATAATAATTAACTTAAACCATTTTGAAAATACTTATAGTTTTTAATAGAAAATAAACTGAACAAATCTGATTAATCAATTAATTATGTCTTAATCCTGAAACTAAACTGCTAATTAAACTCAGGGTTAAGCTGAAGAAGAGATCCACCTGCGGTTCTTCCCTATTCTCCCTAATATAGCCTATGTTGAGACCTGCCCTAACTTTAGACCCTACTATTCTTAACAACCCAAGGACCTGCCCCCAGA